AACTTCTTCTTCTTCTTAACATGCCATACACCAAAGTGCGTAGGCGACTATCTCATTACTAGAATTCTGTTCTTGGCGGCGTGACACAGCTCGCCTGTATTGTGTATTCCTGTCCATTCTTTAATATTCCTTAACCAGGATAATTGTTTGCGGCCGGCTCCTCTCCTACCTTCGATCTTCCCTTGTAGGATTAACTGTGGTATTTCATATTTTGCTCCTCTCAATATGTGCCCAAGGTAATCTTGCGTTTTTTAATTAATTCAAAGAGTTCACTTTACACGCCGGCTCTCTTAAGGACGCCATGGTTTGAACTCTATCCACCCAAGGTATGCGCATCATTCTTCTTAATGACCACATTTCAAATGCTTCAAGTTTGTTGATAGATGTTTTTTTCAAAGTCCATTCTTGACCATTCTGTAGCAAAAATAAAACTAAATAAAATTAAATAAAGGTTAATAGAATTAAATAAAATTAATACAATTAAATAATAAATAAATAAAATTACGGCAAATTAAATAACATAGATAGAAGTAAAAGATATACAAAATGCTAAGCTTCATTCTGCTCATTTTTTGAGCGTTTTGTGGTGGGAGTAAAATATTTCATCGGATCGTAACGTATGATACATCACTGAAAAGAAGAGCGCATAACGAATATGTTGAGACAGAAAAAACACATATTGCGGCATCGCCAAAAGGGCATTCATCATATCTCCTTTGTTACTGGTTCGATTGGAGCATGTGATACGTTAAATAAAATGGAAGAATATAACGAATATATTAGGTAAGAAAATACAAACAAGGCGACTACCAAAAAGCAGCGACATAGTATCTTCATTATTTATTAAGGTATGTGCCGGAATCACAGTGGCGGTAGTTTTGTTTTGAACGGTGAAAGAAAATTTTAATTTGTGCGAAATCGTGTAAATGAAAGTGAAAACAGTGCTAATATTTGAATCCTGAGTTGGAGAATTGGCAGTATAAAAGGTTTGCAGTATTTGTAAGTACAAACAAATTACTGTTCCTCGGGAGATTCGTAGCTGGAGAGTTTGGCAAACAAAAGGACATATAAACGTTTGTTAGGACGTTTTTGGTCAATAGTCCTGTTTTTATAAGCAGAACCAAGGAAGAGTTTTTGCTATTGAGCTATTTAAAGTTGATCTGTCAATAAAGTTCAGAGGCAAATTGTTGAGACGAGACAATTAATTAAACTAAATTTGTATGCTTTTTCTTGTGTTAATTTTATGTGTAAAAGCTATATGATTTCGAGAAACATTTATTTCTAAGGGATTTATTTACTTGTATGAAAATTTTCAAAGGTATTTTATTATATCTTATAAAGGTATTAAAAATTATATTGTTTAAATTGTATTACACAAATTTAAATCACTTTATTTATTCCCTTTTATTCCTCTTGTTATCGAATACTATAAAAAGTATAGGTATTTCTGAACTCAAATAACAAGCCCGAGATAAGAAAATATATAATTATTAATTTGGCGTCTGTAATAAAAATTAATCATATATTGTAAAATTAATCAGATAATTTGCTAATTGATTCCAAAAAACAATATACAGTATAGGTAAAAGTTTATGGTCGGTATGCACCTTACGTGAGATGGAGTGAGAAACACCTGTTTAAAAAGAAAGAGGTATATTAGTTCCACCCTTTATATCGCCGAAAATGCATGAGTGGAATTAATAAAAAAGGAGAAGTTCAACGTTGCCAAGCTTATTGGTTTTATTTGACCTGTTGTCTTTTTAGCATTTGAACAATGTTCTAAGATAATCAAATTTAAGCGAAATGGATTTAAATGGCAGCTTACTGTTTTTTTATTGGGAATATGCCACAATTTTACTTTACAATAAGTGTAATATAACATTTTGATTACCACTTCGGAAATCGTTTTATATAAATAAAATTTATTAATGTTAATTTTAAAATAAAGCTTATTTTAAAGTCACATTGTGCTTTATTCCCAGTATAAATAATAAACTACATATGACGCCACAATAAAAAAGTTTCATACAAAATTATTTGGCAACGTCTCGTCTTGCCTCGTCAAAGCACCGAATCAAAGTAAGGACAGTGGTAACGAGTAGAGGTGGGTCGTTGACGTTTTTATCGTTAACGCAACTGAAATGATTTTTGTAAACAAGTAATTATGATTGTTTAACAGTACTTATTGAAGTGAAATAAACTAATGAAGGATATATTTATTATAACTCAAAAAATAAACTAAACAATAAAAATGGTAAATCGTTACATTTACATTACACGTTATTATTAAATTACGAATCGTTTAAATTGACATTTAACCCTGCATCACTCGCGCCTTAAAAAATTACGCGAGAACTCGCGCGTGAGAATTTCTCTCACACGACGAACCCTTCAAGATTTTGTTCGGTGTAACTGTTTTTATTTTTTTTTTTATGCAAATGAAACAAAACTATTGGTAATAATAAAAGGGTTTATTTAAAATAAATGCCAAAAATAGAGTTATAAGTACATTAAAAATACTAAAAAGAAAACTTATACAATGCTAAGAACTAAAAAAAAATACCCTGTATATTTTATTTTACATCTATCTTTAAATTAATGTTATCCTTAAATCAGATAAAATAAACATAATATTAATCAAAAATTTAATCATCTGAAGTACCACTATTATCGTTTACGCCAGAACACGTTGGACATGTGAAGGTGGTATGCTCCGTGCAAATGGCAACATTGCAGCTAACACATCGTTTTTTTGACTTCCTGTTCTTTCTTCTTGGACAAAATCCACAGAAATCTGGAACAGATTCTCTGTTCTGTTCAATCTGAGGCATATTTAAATATTCCCTTAGCATGCTTCGAATATTAATTGGCAAAGACCTGATCGATGAACGACGAATCAACAGAGGTTTAATCAAAGCTTCGGCCAGATGATTGAGATAAATTCTACGTTCTTCAATAACTTCGGTATTACTTTTATATACAATATTGGAATTAATAGCAGCAACGTCCAAAATTGTAAAAAAAATTCTAAGTGGCCATCGGCAACAATATCTGGAAACAGAATAAGTTGATTTTAATTCATCAACCACATCGACACCTCCTTTTGTTAGGTTATAAAATGTAATGATCTCAGGTTTTTCCAGTTCGCCAGATTCAGGATCGATGTAGTCCCCAGAATGAAATGTAGATAACATCAATACGTTTTTCTGAGGTTTGGGTTTATACGATAATAATACAGTATTCTTTCGGAAACCAAACATGCTACTAGGTACAGGTCTTTTCACATTTATAAATATTGGCGGAATTTCCCTCTTGTTTTTCCTTAGGGTACCAACAAGTGTAGTTTTCCTATCAAGTAATTGTTTGGCTAACGGCACTGACGTGAAATAATTGTCCATAGTTATATTTCTACCTGTGTTTAATATGGGATTTGCTATACGCATAACAACAGCAGATGCAGAGTTGTCTAGATAAAAAGGGCCAACTGGCTGTTTTCCTGCATATATCTCCATATTGCAGGTATAAAACATCCTTGAGTCAACTAAGGCATATATTTTAATGCCGTATTTGGCCGGCTTGTTGGCTATATATTGCCGAAATTTACATCGCCCTCTAAAGCTTTCCAACATTTCATCCACTGTACAATACTCTCCAACTTGGTAGTTTTCTTGACACTTGGACACAAACTGTTCAAATATGTTTCGAATGGGAGCCAAATTATCGTATTTTTTTCTTTCGTTTCGGTCATTGATATTGTCAAATCTTAGTGCTCTTCCTAAAATATGAAATCGTTCTCGTGACATCGTTAGTCTAAAGCAAGCAGGAGCAAATATTGAATCAGCCCAAAGTTCTTTAGTATTTAGATATTGAGCCTTTCGTACCCCAGCCATGTATAGGAGGCCGATAAAAGCATATATTTCTGTAGCGTCTGTGTCACGGCAATCTCTTTCTCTCGTATAGTTACCTCGTATTTTTGCTAGATAGATATTTGTGCATTGTACGATTTCTTCAACCATTTCTTTTGTAATATATAATTCCCAGCATGCTTCGACAGTATTTGCATCTTTTGCAATATTTTTTACTCCGGGAAGATGACTAACAATATTTTTTGTAGGCACTCTTACGTTAGGTCGTGGAGGATAAGCCATCCAGTGAGTTTTTTTGTCTTTACCAGTGAAATGATGTTTTGATGTATATGCGGGATTATCGTCAACTTCATAAACAAAATTTTCAACTTCTACATCAGATTGTTCGGAATCGGTATTATGCATACTATGTTCACTGGAAGCGTCACTTTCAACATCCACTCGTCCGCCATCTTCCATAATTTCTTGATTTTGACATTCCTCTTGCCCACTCCATGGTATGTTAGCTGACATACCTTCTCTTTGTGCCTCTTCATATCGAATTCGCCCTAATTCTGCAAGCGTCAGTCCTCTACTCATTGTTTACTATCTAAAATAACAATACCGCAATAATAGAACACCTTGACCTTATTTAAAAAGCAAATAAAGTAGTTATGTATAAAAAAATCTTAAATTTACTTACCAAAACTTTATTCAACCTTAAGAAAATATACTACGTTAGAACTTGCGCGATGAGAGAAATTCTCACAGAGATCTGCACACGATCGACAAGTGCCCGATATCTATTACCAACATGCACTAAATATTGCATGCGCTCAAGCGTAACAACGAAGACCCTTAGAAACTCAGCTAGAAGTGGGGGTAGCAGTATGCGTGATTTACCGTTAATAAAATTTGCATTTTACTGGTAGGTGTGAGAGAAATACTCATAGCGCGAGTGATGCAGGGTTAAGAACATAAGTTTTTCTACTTTACTTCTTGTTAACCGTGTTCTTCTTTTATTTAAAATTAAACCAGATTTTGAACATGTGTTCACATTTACAATATTTTATGAATATAGTGGTTAAGCTAAGATATACATGGCTATGGTTTTTTCACCATTGTAATGAACTCTCAATAGAGGTGTACGTTTAGATGAGTGATGTCCAATTAATTGATCAAAAATACACCATGGACTTAGTCATCTTTACCGGTTTCTTTTTTTGTACTGGTTGATTTTGAATAGTACAATCTTCTTGTTCTTTAAGTATAGAAGTAACCAGCTTCTTAACTCTTTCTTTTGATTTTTTAGCTTCATTTTTATCAGAAAATCCCTGAACTTTAAATCGTGAATCCATAAATGTACATATCGACAATATGCAACTCTGTTCTAACCATCTAAATCTTTTTGTTAAATCCGATATTAGTAATTGTACTACGTCGGATACTATGCATGTAAGATTACCGTTTGCTAAAATTTTATTGCAAGATTCTTGCACGTAGCGTACCATAACAATCACTGAACTACCCTTCAAGTATTTTTGGCCACTTATTTTACTTGTTATTGCTTTAAAAGACCGTAAAATTTGGGAAAGTTGAGAACAAATAATCCAGTTTTCATTATTTAGGTTTGGTCTAAGTCTAAGTCTTAACATGTAATAGGTGAAGTTCTACCTAGTTTCCATGTCTTGAATTGGCCGTTTGGGAACTTTGTTATGTTGTAATTGATACTTTAAAAGCCTGTCTGAAGATAAGGTACTTTTTTTAAAATGTGTTTTTTGCCAAATTGTCGAAAAAAAATGACTCCACCAATTAATTTAACGTGTGAGCAAAAAAATTTAAATGTTTTCATTCCAAAACATGTTTAATAGCTTTGACTATATTAAGGCATTATCAGTTACTGCAAAATTTCAAAATTTAATTTTCGTTTTAGACCCCATTGATTAATAATTTCACTAATTTCAAAAGCGATGTTTTCTGAATGATGGTTTCCAGAAAAATGACAGCAGCCTAATAAAACCGTTTTAAATTCTAAATCTTCGGTTAAATATTGTCCTGTTAATGCGATGTAACTCTCAGTTACTCCAGATGTCCAGAGGTCAGTAGTAATACAGATATTTTCTACTTCTTTAATAACTTGTGATCTAATAATTTGCTGTTTTGATTAACATTCCTGAAGTAATGAACCTGACAAAGTTTTTCTTGTTGGTGGTTTGCAGGGAATCCACCATGCAAACTTTTTAAAAGCTCGTTCTTTAACTATAGAAAACGGATGATCCATATCTATTTGTTTCTTTTGTTCTAATCTAATATTTTTATTAATGGAAGTATCCATTACCTTTTGACGCTTGGGTGGCGGTGGCAGTATGTCAGTACTTGTAGAGAAGTAGTCGAAACGAAATGCGCTAATAGGAGAAATGCGCTAATAGGAGAAGTTTCAATCATTGCAATATTCAGAAAGTGCAATATTTTATTTTCAACGTCAACCGATAGCCCGACTGTCCACTGTCCCGAAAGAGTTGCATGTTATTAGTTTTGTAGTAGTCTCTCAGATCAACTAATCGTCCTCGTTGACGTTGAAGTGTTCGTTGCTCCTCTGTTTACGTCTACACAAAACACGTTTTTTTTTAATCAACCATTAACTAGTTGGCTTACCAGTGAGAAACCGTAGATTTGTAAATGACAAATAATGATTTAAAATGCATGGATTTTCAGATAAAAATGAAGGTAAAAAAACAAAAGAAAGAGTTAAGAAGCTCGTTACTTCTATAATTAAACAACAAGAAGATTGTACTACTGAAAAACAACCAGTACAAGAAAAAGAAACTGACAAAGATGACTTAAATCCATGGTGTATTTTTGATGAATTAATTGACTCATCTAAACATACACCTGTATCGAGAGATATAAAAGAAGTCGACATGTATTTGTCTGATGATATATTACCCACAAAAAATTTCGAACGGAGATTGGAACTGTCCATTACAGTGGTGGAAAAACCATCGCCATTTATATCCTAACTTAACCACTATATTCATAAAATATTGTAGTAATGTGTGTGAACACATGTTTAAAATCTGGTTTAATTTTAAATAAAAGAAGAACACGGTTAACAAGAAAAGTGGAAAATCTTATTTTTTTTAAATGGTTTTTAAATGTCAATTTAGACGATTCGCGATTTAATAATGTGTATTGTAAATGTAAGTACTATTCGTATTTTTTTAATTTATTTTTCAAGTTATAATAAATATATCCTGCGTTAGTTTCTTTAGAAGGCACTTTCTGATAACGGACTGATGCCTGATTGTTAATATCGTTCTTTTAAACCAATATTTTATTCTGGCGTTGTTTTTTCTTCCTACAAATTTCTTAAAAAGTGATTCGAGATGCATTCATAATAATTTTAGATACGTCTATGATTTTTGTGACTAACGGTTACAAATGAAGTCGGGAGAAAAGTTCGATCTCAGTATCCGCTAAAAATAAAAGTTTCATCGATTCGTGACGCGCGAATTGTTCAACACCCCCAACAGCAAAAGCAATAATTACAGTGTTATGATGGCGTCATTGATGAAGGCAAACGGCATTAATCCTCTATTTTAGCAGAAGTTATACGAAACGGGTTAATTAAGCCCTTCGTTATAACCTGCTAATAAGCTTCAGTTTGAATTATTTGTAAATTTAGCTTCAATATTTTACATTTTGTAGTAATTTTAGTATTGGATGGTGCCTTCATTACATCTATCTTAGTAAATATGGAGTTACAGCTGTTTTACATCGTGGACAAATTATCAGTTGTCATATTTTGATTAAAAGGTTTGTACTCTTACCGAAGCGTACGTTGTAATATCTGGATTATTTTTGAAATCATATAAGTCTCTTACTGAGTATCTTCCAGGTATGGTCCCAAGTATTTATTTTTAATACACATGCTGGCCAGATCACTGCCATTCAGTATCTATTCTTAAAATGAGGTTACTCTTATAAGTGTACCCCTCCATGCATACGGAAAGGTACCCTCATCATCATCAATCAGCCAATCGCGTCCACTGCTGGACATAGGCCTCCCTCAGTTCTTTCCAGTGTTCTCTACACTGGGCCGCTTGTAGCCAGTTTCCCGCTACACGTTTACGTGTCCCGTACAACGTAAATTAGTATACATAAATTCTGAAAAAGAAAATTAAAAAAAATTCAATGTCTTACGACCCTTAGAACCAGAGTTAGCATTTTTCTCGATTTACTATTTTAAAAAGTGAATTCATAAATTCAAAATAAAAGTCACTATGTGTCTGGTACTAAACAACAAAAATTTATGTTTTGTTGGGATACCTCGTTGCAGGTATTATAAAAATTCAGTTAGTCAATTTGTAAATTGTTTATTGAATCGAGTAATTTGTTTAAATAATTTAAAATAAATACTTATTTTGCACAATTTTACTTTTCTCTTATTATTAGTACTAGAAAAGGATATCAAATAGTGTAGCTGGACGATGTCATTTAGAAGAGCATGTCACGTAGAAGGAAGTGGGGGTGATAAACACGTGGTAGGCTGGTAGGACACTGATATGCCAAGCGCATTCATTTAAATTTCAAATTTCAGTCTATGTTTGTATGTTTATAATGTCGCTCGAAGAACACTAACCTAGATGAGCTCGCGAACGTGTCAGAGAGTGATGAATGCATATCAAAAACATAAAACAAAACAAGTAGTGAGAGTGAGGAACAAAGTAGTGATGATTCTGCTGTTCTATTCTACGTACAACATCCTGTAGAACATTCTGCAACAGTTCCTTCAAAAGACGGTAATATCCAGTGGTCTCTCGATACTCCTTATCAACGCAGTCGTTTTTTCACGGCCAATGCTATAACTAATGCTCCAGGAGTTACAAGGTACGCACGTACACGAATTTTCGATATCAAAAATTCATTTGACGCACTCTTTTTTGACATAGTTGCAAAACAAATTATAATAAATATGTCCAACATGGAAGGACAGCGTGTTTTTTAAACCAACTGGAAAGACTTGGATAAAATTGATTTTCAAGCATACATTGGTCTTTTATTGTTAGCTGGAGTTTTTAAGTCCCATGGCGAATCAACTAAAAGTTTGTAGAGTGAAGAAACGATTCGTAGTGTATTTCGAGCAACAATGTCCCTGGAAGTATTTCCAAAAATTTCGCAAGTAATACGTTTTGATAACAAGACTACTAGACAGGATAGGAGACGTACTAATAAACTTGCAATACGTGAGATTTGTGAAAAATGGGTAAAAAATATACCAAAATCTTTTAACCATGATGAAAATGTTGCCGTCGACGAGCAATTAGTTGTCTTTAGAGGCCGCTGTTCCTTCAAACAGTACATTCCAAGCAACCCAGCGAAATATGGCATTAAAAATTTGGGCTTTATGTGACAGTAAAAGTTCGTATGCTCTAAAATTTCAGATTTATACAGGAAAGGAAGCAGGTGCCCCGCCGGTACGGAATCAGGGTGTGGTGTACATTTTCTAAAAGAAATACAATGCTGGGGACTATAAGAAAAAATAAGCCAGCGCTTCCAGCACAAATTGCGAATAAAGAAGTTCATAGTTCGCTTTTTACGTCACGCAAGATACTCCTGTTGTTAACTATATTCCAAAAAAAAAGATGTTATTTTTATGAGTACTTTGCATCATGATAAGGCTATTAGTGACAGAAATGACAAAAAGCCGCAAATTATTTTAGATTACAATTCCAGTAAGACAGCAATGGATACTCTAGATCAGCTTGTTGGTACATATACATGTAAGAGGAAGACAAATCGCTGGCCTATGATTGTTTTTTATAATATGCTGTACATTTCTGCCTACAACGCGTTTGTTTTATTGACATCAATAAATCCCCAATGGAACACCAACAAATTTACAAAACGGCGAACTTTTCTTGAGAAATTGGGAAAAACACTGGTGAAAACACGTTTCCTTATCCTTTAAATATCCTTTCCAGAAAAAATTTACCAAGAACTAAAGACTCGCAAAAACTGATAAAAAGAACACGAACAGAATCCAGTAGAGGAGATGAAGCGTCTACGGACAATCCAACTCCACCTGCTAAACGAACACGCTGTAAATTTTGCTCTAAAAACGATAACAAGACTAAGGCTACGCGAATTCTTCTTCTCATGGCGCCGTCTCCTTACGAAGGTTGGCGATCCAAATGGCAATTGTGGTTTTGGAAACTGCTCCGCGAAAGATTGCTGCGGATGAGCGGTCGAACCATCTCCTTAGGTCTTTCAGCCATGAGTTCTGGCGTCTTCCTACTGATCTTTTGCCCTGTACTTTTCCGTCCAATATATCTTGAAGTAATTCATAGTTTTCACCTTTCAAGACATGACCCAAGTATTGCATTTTAATCTCTTTGATTATTCTTAGTAATTCCTTTTATTTACACATTCGACGAAGTACCTCAACATTAGTAACTCTTTGTACCCATGAAATTCTCAATATTCGTCTGTATATATACATCTCAAAGGCATCATACAAGCCAAATCATAGCATAGCATAGCATACAAGCATCATAGCCAAAAGCTAGGCGCATACACATCGAATTTGGACGGTCGATAAAAGTTTGATCGAACTTTTGTCGATGATGCCTTGCGCGCACACTACACGATATTTATTCGATGACGTTTTTTAATCCACAAAGGTTTGTTAGGTGGAATACACAAAATCACAATGAACACAGAATCACGTAGCAACACGGAGCGGCGTACCTTGAGCAGTGTCAAAAAAACGCAACTGGTCCTCTGGTCGGTCGATAAAGATCGATGTGTGTTCTACGCCTTGGAACGACGGCAACGACCACGGCAGCCGTCCATGCAGTGACATTCATCGATCGCCACACGACATCGATACCTTGCCGTTTGGCGATCGATGTGTGTGTCCGCTCACATTTTTTGTTACTTCGCGCTTTGTTCGATCGAACTTTTATCGACCGTCCAAATTCGATGTGTGTGCGCCTAGCCTAATATTTGATATTGTATATGTCACAAACATTATTTATAAAACTCATTCTTTTTATTACTATCCCAGTTGTAAACTAATTTAAATTTTGTAGGTATTTGTTCTTAGGCTTTTCTGGGAAAGAAAAAAATGCCTTTTATTTTTAATAATAAGGTTTAATTTACATAAGCAACATAATTTTTGTTTAATTAACTATAATTTTTTGTTAATAAAGTAGTTAGGTCATATTGACCCAACAGTACATTGCATAGTTGACTCGAACGGTACAGTGGGGTTAAACAAAAATTGTCGCGTAAAGGTAGCCTCGTCCGTAAAAAAAGCATTTTAAAAAAATTTTACTTTTCTCTTATTATTTTCTGCTTATAATAAGGAAAAAGTAAAATTTTGCATAATAAATATTTATTTTAAATTGCTTAAACAAATTACTCGGGAAAATAAACAATTCGGATTAACTAAATGTATTTTTATGATCGATGCCTCGAGTTACCCCAAATTTAAAAAAAAAAATCAATTTTCGTTGATTAAAACCGGAAATATTGCGACTTTTAGAAATTTGAATTTATGAATTTAGTTTTTGAAATAGTAAAATCATTTCGCTTTTAAACCCTTTATCTTTGGCGCTTCATAGATGGCTCATTTTTACATGCATCGTTTTAAATTTTTGTCTAACCTTGAATTTTTAGCCTTTCAAATGTTCTTTTTCAATTGCTTATTGCACAAAACTCCGGTGAATTTTTGAAAAAAAAAATGGTTAACCCGGGTTTTAAGAGTTGTAGGACAATATGTTTTTTTTTGAAAATCGTGTAAACATGCCAAGATAACTATTACAAACAAATGAATTTCTTACATACTATTTTAATTGTTTATAAGCTAAAAATCACAGTACTTTTGCAAACTTATTTTACAATATTTAGTATAAACTTGTTACTCGTTATATGATTTAATTTGATAGAATAAGCCTTTTTCTTTTAACTGGTGCTTTATACTTTTCCATATACATACTTTACCGGTCTTCACCAAAATCAAATAGTCATCTTAAATTGTTTACCTATATATTATTTAGAAGTAAAAAATGACGTTCATTCGTTTGCCTATTTTCTTTATGACATATTGTCTTGACCAAATTTATCAAAAAGTAGATACCTATATCAACGAATTTCACGGGAAAACCGTTAGTTCTCTAGTCTATTAGACTTAGAGGTATGACAGAGCTATGCAGTAATAACGAAAAATTATGCATACTTTACACTGTTCCTAAGACATGTGGGAAATTTACGCTGTTCGTAGAGTCCTTCTACAATAGCTTGGTACAGTTGTAATCTTAACACAAAAACTCATCTACACGTAAAAATACACAACCTATGTTAATAAAAAACTTGAAAAGTGAATTAGCAATTTTAGGTGTTTCCAACTTTAAAGCCGTTTTAAATTTATGAGAAAAAGCAGAGAAAATGAAAAATGCGATAAAATGTAAGTGAGTAGGTACCTGAATAATTTATTTTTAAATGACATCACAGCTTAACGTCGAGGGGAAAAACTACATTTAGAAAATCCCAAGCAAATAAATTCCGTTTTTCTAGAGAAACATTCGAATCTGTTTATGTATTATGAAAAAAAATCTCTATACGTTATTATAATTTTGGTTACAGAATATTACAAAGGAAATCAAAATTATTTTACAAAAGTTTCATAAAGCTTACAGAGAAATAATTTTACAATGATGTTTTAGTTAATTATGACATTTCCAATCGGAAAACTATCAAATTGTCCGCATTCAGGTAACCTTTTATGACCAATTTTTTGTTCGATGTTGCTCACTATTTGATTATGATTTTGATAGAAGAAACATGCATAACTAATTTTATCGATTTGGTTCGCCTTCCTCTTTTAAAGTTTTATTTCTGCAAAATGTATTTTTTTTCTTATCTAATTTGAAGTCTTTAATGAAGTTCCGACTTTAATCTCTTAGAAGATATGATGATAAGATCTTAGAGATCAGTAAGATTTTTAAAACGATATAGTGTAGATTAATAATGAGAATTTTTATACAAAATTGTAGAAATAAATAAACCTTTAAATATCATTGGAGATATATAAAGAAAAACATAGACTTGCTTTCCTGGAAGATATTGTCCCCGAAACAAAACGTGTAAGGTAGGATCCATCTAATTTGTATATTTCAAGCGAAAATTAATTTACCGGTCAAAGCAGCGCATTAATAAATCGAAGATCCATACAGAAGTCAGTAACTTCTTGTGATAATCAGTAATATTATTATTTACAATAAATAGTCTGGTGTACGCTGAACAAGTAAATTGTTATCAATTTACTGTTTGTATTTTGAGAACGATTTTCGAAGTGGAAATTGAAACGTCAATAAACGTATTTTTTTATCTTTAATTGTGGCTTATTCCCAGTTAAATAGTAATTAATTTAAAATGCCACAAGAAAATAGCTTCAGAAAAATATCTATTTAATTTCTTATAATAAGTAGCGTTCGACAAACAACAACGAATAAAAAGAGAGCAAAAATGAGAACAAAAGCCCCCACCAGAGCTCAGACCTTTTGAGTCCTTTCAGTCTCAATCAATTCTCTCAGAGGAAGTGAGAGCCGTTAAATTTGGATAATAATAATAACTCTCTGAAAACTTGTCAACCTATATATGATACTAAAAGAGGCTGATGTAGAAGCTGTAATCGAAATCAATGGAGAAAAAACAAAATAATAGCCCGAGCAGAAAAAAAAAGATAGTGAAAGATAGAAAGAAGATAAAAAGACAAAATTTAGCCGTGCGCATTCTAAGACTAAATGCAAGAATCTATAAAGCAGCAATTAGACCTATATTAACATACACGACGGAGACAAGACCTGACACACCTAAAACAAGACGACTACTAGAAACAACAGAGATGAAAATACTCCAACAAATATTAGAGAAAAGTCTGTTGGATAGGGAGAGAAGCGAACACACAATAAGAACATGAAATATAGAAGACATAAATGGATGGGTGACAAAACGGAAACAAAAGTGGAACGAACACATTAGTAGAATAGCAGAGGATAGGATAGTACGAATAGCACGATATAAGTCACCAAATGGACGAAGAAGTATTGGCAGACCAAGAAAAAGATGGTGCGACAATTTAAGTAATTTAGACGGCTAATATTATTGAAGAAGAAACAGGCTTTAAAACCTACATACAAGAAGGAAGAAGAAGAAGCAATTTAAAGAGAAAAGTGTTGAGGAAAATAAGTGGAGCTACGAGTATTTAGCGGGATCTTATTTGATCCGGTAGAATACATGCAGAAACTGTCTTGGTATTATTAAGATTCTGTTATCATAGCAGATGCTACGAAGACCGTTTTACATAAGAGGTCTAACGAACTGCAAGCAAGAGGTCGATTTCAAGAAATTCCTCCAGAACGTGAAACATGATTTGCGTAGACGTAAATGATGCCCATTAAGAACAGTTATGAAAAGGATGAGCGGGCGGAGGACGTACCAATTCAAGTGGTGCAGGTGTCAAAGAAAATGTAAGATAGATACATGGTAGACTTACCTTTCTTATGCCTGCAGTTGAATTTGCACATACTGAAAGATTGTCCCATCGATCGTAGAGACCCCCTTCTGATGATAGATCTGTTCCGGGTGGGATTCGTGCCTAGCGTAGGGGAAGGGGCCGCCCGGGGGCAGAGCCCCACATCGCGCCACCACCCCTTTAATGTTACCGCCACCCCTGATGCTTTACCAATTATGCTTTTATTCTTCTTCCTTGAAAGAGAAATGATGTCACTGGTGAACCACCGCCAATGTACTTTGAAATCCTTAACGGGTGTTTTGAACAATTTTAAATGGAGGTTATCTTTGTCTACTGATAGCTTTAAGGAAGCCGTTTTTAAGTGGTTGCTTCTATCTTTTGAACAAATCCTAACCTTGATCAAATTTATCATATAAAACGTTTATTCTACAGTTGCTTGATCTATTTTTGTTTGTTTTAGTTTAGTTGCTGTTGTTACCGGAGTCTTCTACGGGTTTGTTTTTGGACCACGAATATAATTTGGAAGCTTTGCAATTCTTGGACTTTGTTCAAACTCATAAAAAATTGTTTCATATCTATCTGATATTCTTCTTATTGTACTGCAACTAAAATTGAAGAGAACTTTGTGTTAACTAATAGTTATGTAAAACAGGCACTTCAAGCTTGTGTGGATGCTAATATTTTAGAGATAAAACGAAAACTTTATTTTTTTTTTCTTTAAAAATAAAACCTAATACTTAAAACCTTCTTAAATATTTGCTAACATAAACAATTTATGAACTATATAAGGGTGTTTACAAAAAAAGGTAATACCGTCTCTAGAAGAGGTAAAAAACTAAAAAATAAATGGGGTTTGCTTAGTACAACGTTTTTGTAACACCATCCGTTTTCAAAATAAAGGGCGTTGAATAAAAACATTTTTACACATTTTTTATGACTTTGACAAAACTACTGGCAACACTGTAATGAAATTTCATACGAATATTCTTTGGAAGCTGATAAATACATCCTATGCATTTGTTTTTACATCTGACACTCATAGAGGGCGCTAGTTACAAGGTTCGTACCAAGTATTATTTAACGTAACTTTTTTAAGGGTAAATTATTAATCAAAATTCCAAGTGAACTTAAAATTCATACAATATTACACCAAAAAGGTGTACTGTGCACCATTTACAGAATATTTTGATTTGAAAATTAGGAAGTAATAACCGGTGCGCAGTGTTGGTATAAAGTAACGATCGTCTTCTTCTAGTGCCGTCTCCACTAATGAAGGTTGGCTATAACTATTGCAAATTCTGCTTTTCTTAACCTGGTCGAATTGCGAATGTTTTTCAGCCAGGATATTTGTCGTCTACCAGGACCTCTTTTTCCTTCGATTTTACCCTTCATAATCAGCTGCAACAACTCGAATAGAACATGGCATCTTTTATCATTTCTAAGTATTTGCCCCAAATATGCTGTCTTTCGCCTTTTAGTGGTGGTCAAAAGTTTTTTTTTCTCTTTCCATCCTGTGCAACACCATTTCGTTCGTAATATGATCCGTCCATGGTATCTTCAAAATTCTTCTAAAAAGCCACATTTCAAAAGCTTCCAGTTTTCTCATTAAGTCAACATTAACAGTTCAGGCTTCGACACCATAATAAAGAATAGAGTGGATATAACATTTTACCATCTGATATCAGAGTTGCAGATTGAGTCTTTGGTTACTCAGAAATTTCTTCATCTTCAAAAAGGCTGCTCGTAATTGCTCTATTCTTGAGCGAATTTCTGATTTCGGACTCAGATCTTCCGTAATCCAGACTCCTAAGTATTTCATTTTGTCCACTTGCTCAATATTTTCATTTTTTATCTGGATCCTTGTAATGACTTTGCCGCTCTGAATGGTAACCATGGGTTTTGTTATCTTTATGTTTATTGTTAAACCAACTTGTTCCCCAGTATCACAAATTGTGTATAAAGTAACGGTAAAATTTGTAATAAAAAAAAAAACAATAGAAGACAATTAAAATAAAGACTAAGAACATCAAATAAAATGCAATTATTAGAGTAAGTGTTCAAAATGTCCTCCGTGTTCACGAATACGCAAGTCTATCCGTTTTTTCTAAAGAATCTATTAATCTTTTAAACGGTTGAAGATCAACTATGACGTCATTAAACTAACGTTGAATTCTGTCTTCCAATTCTTGACGTGAATTTGTCTCTGTAGCATATACGTTTTCCTTAACATACGATCACTGTGTAGTCCAAAGGATTAAAATGGCATGGCATATAAATCGAAGCTTCTAAACCTCTACAAATCCATCGATTTGGAAAATGGATATTCAACCAATTACGACACCTTCTATCCATTGTATATAAAAGTAAGTGAATTAAGCGACAGATCAACAGCAACACAAGAAACATGAAAAGCGAAATATAAAAAATCTTGGGTAGAAAGGATCTGAAATCTGGACAGTAACAATAAGAGTCAAGAAAAACAATTAGCTACCTTTGAAAGAAAAATCGGAACAGATATACAAAGCCCTAAAAGAACATGGCACCTGGCGAAGAAGATTTAATTGTTTGAATTATACAAAACATACCGAGACCTAGATACCATAAAATTTATTGGACCTTCATGAATATGGTGAAATACTGACCAAAATACGCAAAAATGCTGGTAAAATATAGCACAAGGGGAAGACCGAAGCTGAAATATAAGAAACCAATATAACAAGATATCGTAATTTAAAAAATAAAAATTGAAACAGGCGCCAAGGTCCAAAAAGAGTTGTCAATGATGACGATGATGAGGCGAAGTCTTACTAGAAAACCTGCTACATAATTACTGCTAATTTAGCAAGCAGATACGCAAAGTGCATTTTTATGAGGATTCGTAAGAATGACAGTAAAACAATATATTTTTAAGTTACAAATATATTGCGAAAGAATACTTCTAAATCCAGATCTGATTTGTTATACCAACAGGTATGAGGAAAGGTATATTTGTGCTATGTCTAAATCGAATTTTAATTGACAAATTAAAAAAAATATATGTAGTAAAAAATACCTATGATATCAATTCCTAATAGACATGTGTGATTACAAAATAATACCAACTAGCCAAACACAGTGCAGAGTGTTTTAAAAACAATTATCAATAAAACACATACATCAAACTGACCGCATCAGTTTCCGGTTATGCACTGAATCAGTTTCGATTGTAACAAAGAATGCGTCGCACTATTTACTCTAGTTAACCACAGTTCGTAGTATAACAGAATGTTGCATAATTATTTGGATGGTTGTTTCACTTATACGAGTGAAGATCTAAAATTATACCAGAAACTATAAACAATACAATATAAACAATATACAAACAATATGCACACAATCAAAATTTACAGAACATACCTACTTATTTCCCGTATGGTTGTAACGATCACTCAACATAAAATATGATTAGGACTTGAACACAGGGATAATACTGATCCTAAACCGGGATAATTTACCAACTTAAATAACTGGGATAATACTGATAATATTGATTACAATACTTGTAAGTAAAATTTGTGATTTTATTATCGCTTCGACTTCGAAAACAAACCTTTCGAATTCATCACCATCAACCTGTATGCGTCTACTGCTGGACATAGGACTCCCTCAGCTCTTTCCATTTGTGTCTGCCTTGCGGACATCACTACCTTTTTTGTGAGTATTAATGTTTACGCTCCATAAGTGACTACAGGTAACACACATTGGTCAAAGATTTTTCTTTTGAAACATATGGGTAGATCCGATTTAAATACATAGTTATATTTACCAAACGCTGCCCAGACTAATCCTATGTGACGTGGGAGCTCACAGGTCGGGTTATCTCTGCCCAACCGAATTTACGAGATAGTCCGCACAATATCCCTTTCATCAACAGCAATATTTCGATTTAGCACCAGATTAGTCATTATTTCCGTATTGTTCATATTAATCTTTAGTCCGACCTCCAAGCCTGCGTGATATAATTTTTTAAACATTATTATTGCATCATCCATACGATCGGCTATAAGGACAATGTCATCTGCAAATCTCAAACGACTGAGCTTCTCTCCATTTATGTTGATACCATGCTTGTTCAGATGTGTCTTCTTACAAGTATGTTCTAAAAGCGTCGAAAATAGCTCTGGAGAGACAGTGTCTCCTTGCCGTACTCCTCGCTGTTTACATAATTTATTTATTACTTGTTCAGATAGTCTTACGTTACTTGTGGTATTTTGGTAGATATATTTGATTATGTCCAAATAACAGAGATAGAGCTAGAAACGCCGAACAAAACTTCAGTATAGACCAATATAATTTTGAGGTAGTAAATAAGTTTACATATTTGGGTTCTCTCATAACAAACGATAATGACACATCTGAAGAAGTTAAACGGAGGGTACTGCTAGCAAACAAATGTTATTTTGGACTAAGCAAGCAGCTAAAAAACAGAAATTTAGGCCAGAAAACCAAACTAATAATATATCGAACACTCATCCTACCAGTGCTGACATATGGGTCAGAAACATGGACCATCTCCAAAACAGACGCAAATCTTCTGCTCGTCTTCGAAAGGAAGATACTAAGAAGAATAATGGGCGCATTCTGTGAGAATGGTATTTGGAGAAGGCGATATAATTTCGAATTGTACGAGAAGTATAAAAAAATAGTAAATGGTAGAGATGTAATATCCTTCATAAAAATAGGTAGGCTTAGATGGGCTGGACATGTGTCAAGAGCAAATGAAAATTACCCACCCAGACGAACTCTATTATCGGTCCCAGTGGGAAATAGGAGTAGAGGCAGACCACGACTGAGATGGAGGGACGGTGTGGACGAGGACGCAAGGAAGATCGGCGCGGCAAATTGGCAACGGTTGGCGATGAACAGAAACGACTGACGAAATAGACTGGGGAAGGTCAAAGCTCAACTAGAGCTGTAGCACCACTGATGATGATAATATTTGATTATGTTAGTGTGGCGATGTAATGAATTTTGTCAATGATTTTAACATTTTCTGATGGCTTATAAGTATCGAATGCTTTCTTGTACTCGACAAATATCAGTGTCAATAAATACAGCTAGTTCTCTAGGCTGATAGAAGTCCAATTTAAGGTCCAGTCTTTTTTTGATAATTTTTGTGAAAAGTTTATATATGTGTGAAAGCAAACTTAGCTTGTTATTTGTTAGCACTAAATTTCTAACTAATACCAAGTTGCAACAACACAACAAACCCACCGATGACGTGTCTAAAACTGTTTACTTCGAGCATATCTTGAAAATGAACGAATTACAATTCTGGTGAGACCAGGATGGCTTCATGCGGCCTTACGATCCCGTAAAAGTGTGAGACTATGTTGGTCTCATACGGCACTCAACGTGTTAGAAACTCTAAACTTTAAAACACACACAGTTAAAATTTCAGTTGCTCAGATATCTTATAATAACGGGAAAATTGCCAGGTATATTCTTGCTCAGATACGTTTTAATTGTTGATGAGTATCATTTGAAATTAGTCGCTTGCTTTAATAGATAATAATTTGTTGTTTAACATTAATTTTATTATAAAAAGTAGGTGATTGTTTAAAAT